AGTGTATATATATATAGATATATATTTAGATAATTGGATTATTTTTTACTTTTATGCTTGAATCAGTTACTAATTAACCAACATTCTGAGCTGGTGAGCAGTACATTTCATTTCTTCCATCTTTTAAGATAAATATATTGGTGTGCTATTTCCACAACTGTTAAGTGTATTCTCTAAATAGAAGACTGCTGTAAGAGAGGAAAGTACTAGGTCTAGAGCTGGTACTTTTAAGATGTGAATAAAAACATTATCGGGACTTAAGTAGTTTCATCAACACATGCCACCAACTCCGTAATTGCCTGCAATTTTGGTAACATAGGATTAATAATATCAAGAAGAATTTATTTAGGGGAAATTAACGATAAATTTATGCCTTTAGATGAAAACTATCAACACAGACTCTACTTTTATATAATCTTTAGAAAACTTTTGTGAGAGTATAGTATGGATATCTGCAATCAGAATATTGAGAAGTGAACATTTTTTTGCCTCCTCTTTGATAGTTACATAATTTCTTTCCAGCACACATCTGCCACAGGCTTCTATACATCCACTCCAAAATTCTCCCAATTTTGTTTTTCTTTAGTAATAATAAAGTATGTCTCAGAGACAAAATAAAGCCCCAGGAGCTATGCGCAAATCCATCAAAGTTTATCTATTCTGTCCCTCTGATACCAACACAAAGTAAGTCTGAATGATCTGGAATGCTAACTTCTTACAATTTTAATAAAAATCTTGAACTTACAACTGTTCAGATAGTTGTCTGTTTCTGTCTTGTTGATTTCTGAAATACACAAAAATGACGAATAACCAGGTTCAGCATATCAGAATTTAATCATGCCTCTGAATACTTCAAATACTAAATAGCTGCTTAATTCCATTGTAAGATAGCAGCTCTAGGTTATAAAGAAAGCAGCACAGTTTATCATAGAGTATGTTCACTTCCTTAGGAAGAAGGGAGACCTGAACAGTCTTTCTTAAACACTTGTGTGGATAAGAATCACACAGGGGGCATCTTTATAAACAAACTCCTGTTCCCTTGTCTCAGTAATTCTGATTCAGTAAGTCAGTGTTGAAGCCCAGAAATCTGAATTTGACACTAGGAAGTAAGATGCAGGTAGTACCAGTCCCCTTTTGGGAAATACCAATCTATACCATAGTATTGATTCCCCAAATGTAATCATATTGTCACTGACCATTCTTTCAGATTATTTTAATAAACTCATAGGCATATTCCCATTTGTAGAATATATCCATGTGACATTTCCATAACAATCTTAACTCTCATTTAAGAAATAATGTATCCCCTTCTAAGTGTTCTTTCTGCTGAGGTTTTAGAAACACAGTTTGCCCTCAAATTGTCATTCGACTCCAGTCAATGGATTCTTAGGTTGCTGACTTTTCGAAAGTCAGGCCCTCACCCTCTGTAAATCTTAAACCAACTAACAGATACATAAAATTCTAAGCTCTCATACTTCCTGACTCTCTTTGAATATGGCAGGATGTTCTAAACTCAAATATTTTAATCTGTTAATTTTCTTTTAGTATTTAATAGTATTGATTTACTAGAAATCTGTATTCTAGAAAAAATTTTTTTTAGTTTTATTTTCAAGGCTTCTTTCTGACTTTTGTGCTTCCTCCATTCTGGCTATTTGGAAAGGATGGGGGGAAAAAAAGGATGAACTGATTACTTATTCTCAGTAAGTATTAAAAGGACCTTCACTAAGCTCTCTATTCCAAATAATAACATGTTATTTTCAAGGAGCCCTGGCAGCGCAGTGGTTAAGTGTTTGGCTGTTAACCAAAATGTCGGCAGTCTGAATTCACCAGATGCTCTTCAGGAGAAGGATGTGGCAATCTGCTCCCATAAAGGTCACAGGCTTGGAAACCCTATGGGGCAGTTCTACTCTGTCCTACAGGGTCACTATGAGTCAAAATAGACTCGAAGGTAACGGATTTGACTTTCTGTTTCTTCCTAGGAAAGTTCTGGCTTTGCATGTTGATATTGCTGAGAGGGCCAGTGGACGTGCAGTCTGTGCAGCCACACTGGGTCACGAGCTCAGAATGGCCCCATGCATGGTTTAATGCTGTGCCGAGGCCACCTTAAAATTCTTAATAATTTTCTCTTTGAACTTTTGTTTTGAAAGTGAAGTTAGTTGGAACAATGGAGCATGTGTATGAACAGAGGAGACACGTTTATCCACTATATGTTTGTCCACTGTCCCATTTACATATAGCATTTACAATGTCCCATGAACCCAGAATTCCAGTGGCTATACAATGTGTGGGAACTGAGCGAGACTCAAAATGAGTACAAGGTAAGCATGTATGTCTACGACTAAGTAAGCAGGGAGACAATGATAGTCCTGGGACACTGTGTTTTCTGTTTGAAACAGAATTTACTTTGAATACAGAAAGATGGCAACAGCATTCTGAAAATCGTGAATGAGCAAATAACCCTATCATATCTTTTCCTGTTACTATTACTTCCCTTTATTAGCCAACAGCTTACTCTGAAAATAATACTATAGAAGGAAAGTGAAACATTGGGCAGTTTAGGGTTCTTTTTTCTTACATCTTTTCTTATTCATCTGTAAGTTGAAGGTAGAAAGTGTTGGTAGAATGTGTACACATCAAGAAGGGAAATAGGAGACGGGGCCAAGATGGAGTAGTCTGACCCTTCCAGTGGTCCATCTTACAACAAAGATCCGAAAAAACAAGTGAATAAATTACATATGTCAATCTAGGAGCCTTGAATATCAAAGGAAAAGTTGTGGAATCAAGCTGAGCAGCAGGGGGAGAGAGAGACAGTGTGGAAGCAGTGAGGAGTTGCCAGACCTAACCTGGCGAGAGCCTGAGCCCTTCAGGCTGTATCAACTCCTGGTGCATGGTGAGGCAGGCAAGCAGCAGTGCTTGGGAGCTGTTTTCCACACCGGGAGAGACCCAGCAACAGAGAGTCTACTCAGCCATCCAGAACCAGTGAGAAGCAGCCCTTGATCAGAAAGAGATAAGTACTTGCATCTGGCCTACCGTGCGGATTAAAAATACCCCCCTTAGGGAAAAACCTCTCTCCCATTTACCTCCCTGCTCCCTGCTCTGCACTGGGTCTGGGACGGCTTCAGCAATTGCTGAGTTCCCTGGGCCAGAAGTAGGACTCATCAAGCTCCCTGAGCCCTTCTCCCAGCCTTGGAGAGTGAACAAATTAACAAATGGGGAAAAAATAATCTGCCAGTTCCCCTAAGCCAGGAATTCAGGGTAGGCACAGCTCCTTTGCCTAGGCACAGGCATAAGGGGTCCAAGGACTTTGAGTGCCTTTCCCCCTGCATAGACTTGTGTGGGCCCATTTCAAAAGCACAGACCCTCATTACCACAGTACAACAGGGTATATACCTGAAGTCTAATTTAAACTCTTTCAGCTGTAAAATGGCAGGTTTGTGACATTTGACACTGCTCTGCGCATTAATCAGGGTCTTCACCTACGCACATCAGGGGCCTGAGAACTGGTGGCTCCACCCATACCACTAGTGACCTGCGACACAGGCCAAAGAATAAGAGGTGACCCCAGTCCTAACAGCCAACAGCATTGGGTGTTCATAGTCCAGCTGCAAAACCCACCTACCTACTCGCTCTAGGGAACAGGTACACACTTTCTTCCTGGACACTCAGGGGTGGCCGTTGTCCCCCTGCATTGCTCAGCGTGTGTCCCCCACTGCAGCCAGATGCCTATACGTACACCAATCACCCCTGCCAGTCTAAAACTGTAGGTGAGAGCCTGCACCACATACTTGGTGACCAGCTACCTAGAAACCTGAGCTGAATCCATACAGGAGGAATGGGTGGACTCCTGAGCTCACATACTTAGTGGCAGTTCTGGCCACATGGTGGCAGGACATTGGAGCTTCAGAGGCACTGGTGATTGGTCTAGCTCACACTAGTGGCCTATTTGGGCAAATCAAAACAAAACAAAACAAGAAGCTAGGACACAGTAAGCAAACATAAAATAAACATAATAACTTATTGATGGCTCAGAAACAACAGTCAATATCAAATCACATACAGAGGTAGCCCATGATGGCTTCAGCAAGCTCCCAAAATAAAGAATCTAGAAATTTTCTGGATGAAGAAAATTCCTCGGAATTACCAGAGGCAAAATACAAAAGATTAATATACAGAACTCTTCAAGAGATCAGGAATGAAATTATACAAAACACAGAACACACAGAAGAGGAACTTAAGAAGATCAGAGAAGAGAATAATGACAAATTTAACAGGCTGCAAGAATCCATAGGGAGAGACAGCAATCAGAAATCCAGAAGATTAACAATAAAATTTTAGAATCAGACAACTCAATAAAAAGTCATAGGAGCAGAACTGAGGCAATGGAAGTCAGAATTAGTGAGACTGAAGATAAAGCACTTGACACCAACTTATTTAAGTAAAAATCAGATAAAAGGATTTAAAAAAAAAAGAAGAAACCCTAAGAATTATGTGTGATTCTATCAAGAGGAAAAAACCTATGAGTGATTGAAGTACCAGAACAGGGGGAGAACAGAAAATACAGAGAGAATTGTTGAAGATTTGTTGGCAGAAAACTTCCCTGATATCATGAAAGATGACAAGATATCTATCCAAGACGCTCATAGAACCCCACGTAAGGTAGATTCCAAAAGAAAGTCACCAAGACATATTGTAATCAAACTTGCCAAAACCAAAGATAAAGAGAGAATTTTAGAGCAGCTAGGGTTAAACAAAAAGTCATCTACAAAGGAAAGTCAATAAAACTAAGCTCAGACTACTCAGCAGAAACCATGCAGGATGACATATATAAATCCTTGAAGGAAAACAACTGCCAGCCGAGAATTATATACCAGCAAAACTTTATCTCAAATATGATGGCAAAATTAGGGCATTTCCAGATAAACAGAAGTTTAGGGAATTTGCAAAAACCAAACCAAAACAGCAAGAAATACTAAAAGGAGTCCTCTGTTTAGAAAATCAATAATATCAGATAGCAACCCAAGACTAGAACACAGGACAGAGCAACCAGATATCAACACAGACAGGGAAATCACAAAACTAAATCAAAGCTAAAACACTGAAAATAGGGAAACAGAGATGTTAATATGTAAAAGATGACAACATTAAAACAAAAAAGAGGGACTAAAAAATGTAGACATATATTTTTCATATGGTGAGGAAGTTAAGGCGATATAAAGAAATAAAAGACTGGCATAAACTTAAAAAAATAGGGGTAAATATTAAGGTAACCACA